GTCAGATACTGGGCTATCAAGGATAAAATGTGGTCCTTGTCTCAGATAGCTTTCGGATTAGAAGGGGGTTCAGAGATGCGGGAACAGATGGCAGCACTGCTAAGTGCTTTTATGAGATACTGCCTTTCCAGACAGATCAAGTCAGGAAAATGTTTCCAGGAGAGGTGATACCTCACCTGAATCCTGCAAGGCAAGTGAGAATAAGCCAGGTGAGTTTAGATACAAAGCTGTTCAAGGCAGAAGAAGAGCGTTAGTAGAGGTGATGGTGCCTAATTGAACTTGAAGCCCGCACATAGTTTGGGAAGCCTCGGGGTAAGCTGAGGGTTGAGAATGGCGAAAGATGGGATGGCGCCTGTGTATGTGGAGTCTGATGTGAGCTAGGCATCTTGACAAGATTTCATGATGTTCTCATATTTTTTAAATAGAGTTTTGAAATTATAATTGTTAAAAATTCTTACTTTCAGGAATACAAATTAATCATGAAGCTTCTTAGCAACTGAAGAATAACATACACATAAGTTTTTCTAAGGTGAACTAAAGACCCTGATGCTGGAAAGAATTGAGGGCAGGAGGAGAAGGGGACGACAGAGGATAAGATGGTTGGATGGCATCACCGACTCAATGGACATGGGTTTGGGTGGACTCCGGGAGTTGGTGATGGACAGGGAGGCCTGGCGTGCTGCAGTTCATGAGGTCGCGAAGAGTGGGACACAACTGAGTGATTGAACTGAACTGAAAGTTAATAAAGCAGACCCTCAAAATTTGAAGTATAATGCAGAATATTTATACTATACATAGACAATGAACAAAGATCGTCAGAATGAGAAAAACAATATATGATTAATCAAACTTTAAAAAATAGAACATTTATGTCAAATGCTGAGTTTTGATGGTTCAAGTTTATCAATCTATTTCTATTTTGTTATCTCCTAGTTTCAGTTTTTATATCAAGCATCTGCCAGGTTAGCATTAACCCTGTTTAACTTTTTAAAAAATATTTTGTAAAACTAGTCTTAAAAGTATGTGGACATGATGTTAATGAATCTGGATGTGGGTCCGCGCAGCAAAGTCAATTTACTGATACCGGGTTGTGGTGAAGGAAAGTACAGTGTTATTTCAGGGCACCAAACAAGGAGAATGGGAAGCTCATGGTTAAAAGACCCAGCTTCATGATAGCTTTTGGGGAAGGGTTTTCAAGGGCATTGTGAGGGAGCGGGCTGCATGGTCCATGATCAGCTTGTGCTCAGCTCTTGGGTTGGTTGACATCAAGGTAAAGTTTTACACATCAGTTTTCTGGCACCAGTCAGTTTGGGGGCTTCATGCTTGCAGTCAGCAGTTTTCATCTGGTGGGGTCTGGTTTCTATAAAAACAACTTAGGAATGTGTGTCAGACCTTTATATTTTTCAAGGAACTGGGAGTTTGATGACTCTACTATGTGGTTGATTTATAATCTAAATTGTTATGTTTCCCAACCTAACATCTTTTCTTGGTTTCTACACATTCACATATCCTGATAATTAATGCTCAAGCCAGCCTTCGGAGACCCAGGGGAGGTCTAGGAGACGAAAATAAAAGCCTCTTTTTTCAAAAGACAGGGACACAGGCACTTGCTTACAGTTTCATGATCAAGTTTTATAGTCTAGGCAAGGTTGTGATTTAGTCACCAAGTCGTGTCCAACTCTTGTGACCCCATAGACTCTAGCCTGCCAGGCTCCTCTGTCCATGGGATTCTCCAGGCAGGAATACTGGAGTGGGTTGCCATTTCCTTCTCCAGGGGGTCTCTCCCACCCAGGAATTGAACCTGGGTCTCCTGCATTGCAGGCAGATTCTTTACCAACTGAGCTATAAGGGAATCTTAATGATGTGACTTGTTGGCTGCTTCTCTCTGCCTCCTTTTATTTTTTTTTCCATTTATTTTTATTAGTTGGAGGCTAATTACTTTACAGTATTGTAGTGGTTTTTGCCATACATTGACATGAATCAGCCATGGATTTACATGTGTTCCCCATCCTGAACCCCCCTCCTACCTCCCTCCCTCTCTGGCTCCTTTTATACCTATCCTTTAAATACCTTCTAATGGCTAATCCTGAAACCCTCATTAGAAATTCAGTCCTTTGATTAATTGCTATTTATTTTAAAAAAATAGTCATAGAAATGACACAAACATTAATCTTAGCAGACATTTATGTCCAAATGTAAATTTATGAGCTCTTTTGTGAGCAGAGGGTATGGTAGGTAGGATCATAAGTCCTGTTAATATTCGTCTGCATACATAGTTACAGAATTTTCTTCTGTGATGAGAACTTTTAAGGTTTTTAAGATTTATTCTGTTAGCAACTTTCAGATGCACAGTACAGTATTCTTAACTATAGTCACCATGCTGTACATTACATCCCCATAATTTACTTCCTTTGTAACTGGAGATTTGTATCTTTTGCTCTCTCCACCATTTCCACCACCTCTCACACACCACCTCTGGCAGCCACCAATCTGTTGTCTGTATCTAGGAGCTTGGTGCGTTGTGTTTGTTTTTATTGCACATGTAAGTGAGATCCTGTGTTATTTCGTCTTTCTCTGTCTGACCTGTTTCACTTGGCACAACGTCCCCACGTCCGTGCACGTTGTTGCCCATGGTAAGGTTTCAGTTTTTTCCATGACAGAATAATAATCTGTTGTGTGTATGCTTGCGTGCTTAGTCGCTTCAGTTGTGTCTGACTCTGTGACCCTGTGGACTGTAGCCCACCAGGCTCCTCTGTCCTGCATATACATATACCACATTTTCTTCTTTCATTCACCCATTAATGGATACTTAAGTTGTTTCCATATATTGGCTTTTCTAAGTGATGCTAAAGTGTTCATGGGGGCACATAACTTTTTGAATTAGTGTTTTCATTTTCTTTGGATAAATACCCAGAAATAGAATTTCTGGGTCATAAGGTAGTTCCATTTTAAATTTTTTGGAGACACTTTCATACTGTTTTTCCTACTGGCTGCACCAGTTTATATCCCCACCAACAGTGTTTGAGGGCTCCCTTTTTTTTTTTTTCCTGTGTTCTTGCTAATAGTTTTTCTTTTCTTTTTGATGATAATCACTCTAAAAAATAGAAGGTTATATGTCATTGTTTTGATTTGTATTTCCCTGATGATTAGTGATGTTTAGCATCTTTTCATGTAGCTGTTGACCACCTGTATTCATTGATCTTTTAAAGATAATAGTGATAGGGAAAATATGTTTGAAATCAAAGAAGAGAGCATATTTAACAGAGGTAATGGAGTGTTATTTGAGATAAATCTTCAAAAAAAAAAAAAGAATCTATTGATGTTCCATGATGACAGAGTAGGGAAAACATTTCAGGTAGTGGAAACAAAGAGAATGAGGATTGAATTTTATTGCAGATAAATAGGAAGCAGTTCTCTTTGGCTTATTTCTTGTGAGCAGGAGTACACTGGCACAATTTTATGTGTATGGAGGGGGTAGTTTGGCAACAGCTATCAATGTTAAAGATAAAGATGTTCAAGATGTTCTTTTATCCAGCAACTTCTAAGAATTTGTCCCACAATTATACCCTGTAGAAATTGTTGCAGTATTGTTGCAGTAGCATACAACAAACAAAGTACTGACCAGTAGGGGAGATGAGACTTTGAAAAGAAGGTACAGAAAGTATATTAATATAATCTTTTTTGAGGATAGGATGGGTCAGTGAACAGATGGAACAGTTCTGGAAGAATGACCAAGAACTGTTGACAGCGGTTTCACTCTAGTTCCTGGGGATACCGAGGCAAATAAGTGCTTTTGTTTTCTTTCTTCCAAGCATATTAAGAAAAGAAAGAAAAAAACTGTATGTAAATAGATTTAGAGCCTAAAATTCACAGCCCTGGGTTCTTTGCAGTATTTGATGCTACTTCTACATAACTAATTTTGATTTCAGGGGTAGGAGAGTGGAGGAGAGGTAAGAAGATGAAATGAACTTTTGTCATCTAAACAATAAACAGATTATGGTTGGATTTTTTAAAAAATTTAAATCTTTTTTGCTGCTGTTTTGGGGAATTTCTTGAGACTGTTCATAGAAAGAAGTATTCATAACTTTGTGTAGAGTTAAAATAGGCAAATGAATAATGCCTTTTATAAATTTATATTAAAAATATTGTTAAATAAAAACACAACGGGGAGTGAATAGGACAGGAATTTTCAGGAGGCAAGATTGCCAGTTTGACCTTAATGTTTTTATAAATTTTGGCTGCAGATTTGTGGTTTTTAATGGACTTGTCAACTAAATGAGAAGTTTCCATTATTGTAAGATACCATAGCAAGAGTAAGCCATTTTCTGATAATTTTGTGATTCCTATCTAATATGTGTTATTGAGTGAAAGAATATAATAATTCTTTAATTATGATACTAGAGTAAATCTGGAGAATTAAATGGCAACCCACTCCAATTATTCTTACCTGGGAAATCCCATGGACAGAGGAGCCGGCGGGCTACAGTACATGGGATTGCCAAAAAGAAAAAGTCAGACACAACTTAGCAACTAAACAACAAGAGTAAATCATGTTCTTACTTGGACAGCACAAGTATGACTGATAGTTATTTTCTTGACATTTAGGGAATCTATTAAACTTTATCTCTCCACATTAGTGGACTTAATGTTATCAGCTAATTAATGCAAGAAGTCAGTGCTGGCTTTCACGTTTTATTTTTGAAACCTAACTTTTAACATAAAACTGGTTACTTAATTTTTTTTTCTTTGTAATTTCAGCAAATCGCTGCTAATTTGTAAAAAAAATGGAGAGAAAATATTAGATAAATGATGTGAATTTTGTGCCAAATGAAGGAAATTCAGGTTGTTATGGGTTCAGTTGCCATTTAAGAAGGAAAGGAAGAAAGACCTGTGGTTCAAACCTAACTTTCTTTAAGGGAAATATTTTTTATGTTTCCCAAATAACAGATTTTTGTGTTCTGACATTCATGCCTGTTTAATGGCAGTGATTTTTTTTTAAGGTATGGACTCCGGGAGTTTGTGGTGATAGCGCCTGCTGCAAACAGTGATGCTGTCCTCAGTGAGTCTAAGTGCAACCTTCTTCTGAGCTCCGTGTCTATTGCTCTGGGAAACACTGGCTGGTAGGTGGACATTTCAAAATACCTAGACATGAGTTTTAAGAACTATTTTAAATTAAAATTTATGAAGGAAACTGCTTATTAAATGTTAGGTTTTTGATTAATATAGGATTAGTGTTTGTACAGTATTATATTGGAATATGATATGTAAGGACCAACACAGCAAAGTCTTTAGGGAAAGTATATCTAAAGGGAACTTACTTAAATATTACATGAATATTTAAAATGAATAAATTGTACTGTTTTTGTATTTTGCTTCCAAATGTTTAAGCTATTTAAATTTTGATGCAAAATCAGAACATGGAAGCAACCTAGATACCCATCAAGAGATGAATGAATAAAGAAGTTGTGGTACCTATACACAGTGGAATATTACTCAGCCATGAAAATGAATGAATTTGAGTCAGTTCTAATGAGGTAGATGAACCTAGAGCCTGTCCTACAGAATGAAGTAAGTCAGAAAGAGAAGAACAAATAAGTATCGTACATTAACATACATATGGAATCTAGAAAGATGGTACTGGTGAGCCTATTTGTGGGACAGCAGTGGGGATGCAGACATGGAGAACAGACTTGTAGACACAGTGAGAGAGAAGGTGGGAGCACTGGGAGAGTAGCACTGGAGCATGCACCACATGCAAATAGATAATAGCCAGCGGGGATTTGTTGTGTGACTGATGCAGGGAGCTCAAGCCAGAGGGGTGGGGTGAAGTGGGAGGGGAGGGACATATGTATACTTATGGCTGATTCATGTTGATGTATAGCAGAAACCAACACAACACTGTAAAGCAGTTATCCTCCAATTAAACATAATTTTAAAAATACAAAAAAAAAATCTAATTTTAAAACTTGAGCATCAACTAGGACTATGCATTCAGGTAACTTGAATTTTTTGTTTCAAATGACTGAAAGTGCTAAAAGTATTGATTTTTGAAGTTAAGATAGATTTTAGTGAGTAGGCTAATTTGCAGATATGGAAATCTTTGAATAAGGAGGAACAACTATATCTTCAAATGATTAAGTAAATATAATTCATCATTAATGTAGGTTTAATTTGTATTGTTTAATACCTGTGAATCAAGTTTAATATGACCTTGAAAATCCTAGTATGGTAGGATCACTTTTATTCAAGAAAATTTTTATCCTGCTTTTTTTACGATTTTTCAGCCATTTAAAATTAATTTTCTGACTGTACAGTGCCACTTGATAATAATTTCTTCAGATTATTAGTGTAAGGAGAAAAGCAACTAATAATGCCTTTGCTATAAATGTCTGTGGAATGTTCCGTGTTTAGTTCTTTAAATACTTGAGATTAAAATAATGTTATACTGTAAAGCGAGATTTAGAAGCTATTCAATGTTAATGAACTTACAGTCTATTCTTGTTAATTATATCCTACAGCCAGGTGCCACTCTTTGTGCAAATTCATCATAAATGGCGAAGAATGTATGTGGGTGAATGTCAGGGTCCTGGTGTCCGAACTGATTTTGAAATGGTTCATCTTCGAAAAGTGCCAAATCAGTATACTCATTTATCAGGTCTGCTGGATATCTTCAAATCAAAGATCGTGAGTTGGCATTGATACTTTGTCTTATCTAGGATCCAGATAAAAGTAGTAATTTAGTAATTTTATTGATTTCATAGAAATATTTCTAATATTGATCATATAATTACTTAGAAGAGAAATGTAATCGATTATAAAAATTACTGTGTGTATCTAAAGAAACAAATAGCCAATTAGTTTTTAGTGTACAAACACTAAAACTGGTTTTGGTTGTTCGATTGGTTAACATTTAGATACTGTATTAACTCTTTATATTCCTTTTTCTCTAACAGTAATATTGCCAACCCTCCCCCGTGTGAGTGAGCGTCTATGTAGCTGCTTGTTTGGGACTCTGACTATGAGCAACTAAGATGTGAACTCTTTGGGTTCTGAATTGCTCTTCCCCGCCGCCAAGGGTCTATTTGATGTTTAAAATTAATCTGGCTTATAATGCTGTGACTGAGGGCAGCAGGGCTAACTTGGATGTGCTCAATACATCTTTATTTTTCTCTAAAAACACTATAACAGAGATATGGGGGACTTGCCTGTGCTACTCTTTTACAAAGTAGCTGTCCTCAACTCTTTAAAAATAGCAGTTTCATGATAGGCAATACAAAGCCTGGGAGCTGTTTAGCTTAAAAGAGACTAAAGTGATATAACAACTAAAGGCAGTGTGTGATCCTTGATCACAGCAAAATAGCCATAAAGGACACAATTGGGACAGTTTTAATATGGACTATATATTAGAAAATAATATCAGTGTTAAAATTCTTGAGTGTGATAATTGTGTTATGGTTGCATAGGATAATGTCCTCATTCATAGTAATTACATGCTGAAGTATTTAGAGGTGAATTGCCATGATACTTGCAATTTCAGTCAAAAAAATCATGTGGGTATTCATTATGCTAGCTTTGCAACTTTTCTGAAGGTTTAAAAATTTTGAAAAATAAGAAAATGCTGAAATTTCTTTTTTTTTTAACATATATTGTTTGTAGAAAGATATTCAAGATTAGAACTTCATAAAAGTATGTTTTCAGTGTTGAGGCTATGTAAACAGCATGGTGCTAGAATTATCACTAAAAAGATGAATCTATTTGACATTTTAAAAAAGTACATGTACCAGGTTAAGAAATTAAAGAGGTAAAAACTTCTTTATATCCTTAGTCCCTTTCCTCAAAATAACTATTGTTAACTGTTTCTTGTGATTATCTCCATTAAACAAATGATAGAAGTATGTCTTTTAGAAAGCTCCCTGTCTATATGCAACTTTTTTTCCAAAACCTTTCTGGGCCTTGAAATGCTGTCTTAAGTACTACTTAATTCTTCATGTGTTGCTTTGAGAAATTTTTGAAAAAGACAAATATGTGTTATTTCTACCCCATTAGTTTTCCTTTGTTCTCACCAAGTCTTCAATTATGTTTAATTATTTTAGATAAAATTCTAGTCAGATGCAAATATTAATGTTTTATTCCTCTTTTTAAAAACATTAGTGAAAGTTATTTTCATGGATCTTTTACTCCTCTATATAACTCAGCTTCTTACTGAAAGTAGGGACCACATTAATTTGTGAAGCCTGACTTAGAATATGACTGTAAAAAAGAAAAAAAGTGTTCCTAATCTGTTTATTACATCATCTTTCAGAACTTTTACAAACCTCACTGGTCTAAATACGAAAGTTGATTTGATAAAGAGTTGAACTTAAAATAATTGAGACTTTTTTGGGTTCTTTATTGGTATTACATAAAACTACTTAATATGCAACTCTCTTATACTGTCTTTATAAAGCTATCTTTATAAATATTACCCTTTAAATCTACTGGAAGTGCTCCAAGGCACTTTAGCCCCACAGTGGCAATTTATTTCCTTTTCACATGAATCTAATATTTTGAAAAGGTTTCCTTGGCAGAGTGGCAGCAGAGGGTGGTTGTCCTTGGAGTCACATAAAGTTTACATTTAAATCCTCTTTTGCCCCAAGCCTTTACATGTTTGAAAGCGCTCTCATACCGTAGTGTTTCATTTTTCAATTTAGACATTCTTCATTCTACCAGATGTTCTTTATGTTTCATGGTTTTATATTGTGATTTGGATATTTATCTTTCTTAGAACTGTATTTATTTCTTCATATTCTGTGAAAGTTTTGTTTGCAGGCTCATTTTGAATGTCATCTTTTTTGTAGTTTTTTAAACTTTCCTATCTTCTCTAGTGGTTTTATAATTTTGTGATTGCTTCTTATCTGTAGACTATTTCAGAAGCCTGTCTTAAAATGGTGTTTAAAGCCTCTTGCTCCGTGTTGATATTGTGGTATCGCACATGGAGTCTTGGAATCATTGAATTGCTTGCTTGGATCATAGGAGTGCGTTTTTCCTCAGATCACACAACTTTTTCTAGCCTGATACCTTCCAGCACAGCCACTGCCCCAAGCTAGAGTACTCTGTCCATATATCTGCCTTAAGCAGAGAGTCTTTGTAGTACCCTCAGTCTGGGCTGAGTACTTTTGGATCCATTTAATGTAGTCCATAATCCTGGCTGTCATCTGGAACTTAGCAAGCATGTGTCTTGGGTCCCACTTAATACTTTCAGTTTTCTGTACCTTTTCTATTCCTTTTCTAGGATCCTTGAAGATATTTATGTCATGTTTGGTCCTAGCTGTTTCTTTTTGGTCATCTCTTTCTGTATTGGCCAGCATTGCTATGTGACTGGAACAGAGGTTATGTGTCAAAGTATGGTTTCTAGATCATTACTGGGTCTAGATTTACTGGTGAATGCTCATTTGGTACCTAAACCTAAGTAAAAAGTAATTATTTCTGACCAGCCAGAATCTTACCTTGCTTCTATAGGACACAGCAGCCCAAAACTGAATTAGCTCTTTTTTTTTTGGCAGCTATCTTGAGATTGAGTTTGTATTCAGCTAAAGTTACTAATGACATTTATAGCTGCTGCTGCTGAGCTTAAGGGTCTGTGTTATTTCTCCTGACCAGCAGTATCAGAAACATCGGGAAACTGAGTAGCTATGCAGGATATTGTTGCATCTGTATTTTCACAAGCTCACTAGGTCATGCTTATGCATATTTAACTCATATTCCACATTAATATAGCTTAACTGTTACCTAGGAAAGCTGAGATCATGAGATGTTTGGATATTATTAATTTTTATTATTATTAATGAGTATAAAGATAGATCTTAATTTTCTGATTCATTAATATAAACTATTTTGCATGAGTGACCATTTGTCACTGTCTAACATTCTAGTTAAATATTCAAGACTGGCTTTGAGTTTATTTTCATTTCAAAGGGAAAAAAGACATCTTAAACCTAGTTTTACATTTTAAAGCAGTTTTATTTTATTTAAAAAATTATTCACATTTTTTTTACATTCAACATGGCTGAAGAGACTAGTAAAAAATTATATTTGTGCAATTAAAATTGTGTGAGATATTTTGAAATAGTATTTTACTTAATAGAATGTAATATCTCTTCCTGGTAGTAGTTTAAACAGCTTTTTTTGAAAGTTTATTTTTTTAAATTTATTTTTAATTGGAGGATAATTACTTTACTATATAGTGATGGTTTCTGTCATATATCAACATGAATCAGCCACAGGCATACACATGTCCCCCCCCACCCTTAAACCTTCCTTTCACCTCCCTCCGCATCCTACCTCTCTAGATTGTCACAGAGCACTGACTTTGGGTTTCCTGCATCATACAGCAAATTCCCACTGGCTGTCATTTGTACATTTGGTCATGTGTATGTTTCAACACTACTCTCTCAAGTCTTCCCACTGTCTCCATCTCCCACTGTGACAAAAATTCTGTTCTTTATATCTGTCTGCTTTGCTGCCCTGTAAATAGGGTCATCAGTACCATCTTTCTAGATTTCATGTATACATGTTAATATACAGCATTTGTCTCTCTTTCTGACTTCACTGTGTATAATAGGGTCTAGATTAATCCACCTCATTAGAACTGACTCATGCACTCCTTTTTATAGCTGAGTAATATTCCATTGTGTATATGTACCACAATTTCTTTATCCATTCATCTGTTGATGGACATCTAGGTTGCCTCCATATTCTAGCTATTGTACATAGTACTGCAGTGAACATTGGGGTACATGTGTCTTTTTCAGTTATGGTTTCCTGAGGGTATATGCCCAGTAGTGGGATTGCTGGGTCATATAGTAGTTTTATTCCTAGTTTTTTAAGGAATTTCCATATTGTTTTCTGTAGTGGCTGTTATCAATTTGCATTCCTACCAACGGTGCATGAGGGTTCCCTTTTCTCCACACCCTCTCCGGCATTTATTGTTTGTAGACTGTTTGATGATGGCCATTCTCACCAGTGTAAGATGATACCTCATTGTAGTTTTGATTTGTGTTTCTGTAATAATGTGTGATGTTGAGCATCTTTTCATGTGTTTGTTGGAGACAGGTCTGTTTAGGTCTTCTGCCCAGTTTTTGATTGGATTGTTTGTTTTTCTGGTATTGAGCTGCATGACCTGCTTGTATAATTTGGAGATTAATCCCCTGTCAGTTGTTTCCTTTGCTATTATTTTCTCCCATTCTGAGGGTTGCTTTTCACCTTGCTTGTACTTTCCTTCATTGTACAAAAGCTTTTAAGTTTAATTTGGTCCCTTTTGTTTATTTTTGTTTTTATTTCCATTACTGTAGGAGATGGGTCATGGAGGATCTTGCTGTGATTTATGTCAAAGAGTTAAGCAGCTTTATTTTAATGTAATTTGTTCTCTGGCATTAATTTGTCTCTTGAGGTTTTATGCTGTGAGAATTTCCCCTATGAAAATGATTTCCTAAATTCTGCACCTTTGGCTCTAATAACTTCAGTGACTTAGTTTTCCTTTTTAATGGCTGGAATGTTATACATACATTTTTTTATGGCTGGTATATGTGTGCCATATCTAACACTATAATTTGAAAATCCCCATGTCATAAAGGTAATAATTCATTTATTTCAGTAGCTTGAAATTTGGGTCTGGTATTACAAGGGTACTAACATTTCATGATATTGTCTTTGCATTTACTTCTTAGGGATGTCCTTTAACGCCATTGCCTCCAGTTAATATTGCTATACGGTTTACCTATGTACTTCAAGATTGGCAGCAGTATTTTTGGCCTCAGCAACCTCCGGGTGAGTTAATTTAGAACTATATTCAGAAATTAAAAGTATTTAACAGTGTGTTTAAAGTGTTTGAAATATTTGTAACTCATTTTTAATGTATATAGTGTTGCTATTTTCATTGCCTTTATCACTTTTTTTCTCTTAAAAATTGTAGGTTGTTCTAGAGACAACTCTAGAATTACTCTAGACTGTTACTCTAATTGTCAATTACTCTCTACTTGACAATCTGTCATTGAAAAAAATATTATTTATAAAGCATTCCCTTGCTATGGAACATTGTATGCTGAAAATTAGTACGTAATGAATGATTAAAATGTCTGCTTTCAGAATATAAGAAGAGAAACCTCTCTCCTACACTGAGAACAGACGTGCACAGAACCTAATAGAAAGTAGAGTTTGAAGAAGAGGGCTAAATAAGGAAAGCAGAAAAGAAAAAAAAAGAAATGTATATATACACATATGCTGGGAAGAGCTGTAGAATATTTTACTTTAACTTGTGTTTTTATAAAAATAAAAATCATTTTACCTACTTCACCATTGTGGTACTGATTCATTTAGTAGTCATTGATTTTTAGTCTATAAATTTGTTCCTGCCAGGGACACAGATATAAACAGACATTACCTAGGTTTTAGAAAAACTTACCCTGGTGGACATTTAGCCTAAGTAAGTGAGGTTTAGGTTCCTGGATGTTTCTCTCACATATAAGTGTAATTATATTCAAGTGTATCTATAAGAAATTTAGTATCAACTTATAAATCATAGAAGGATTTTATTAGCCTGAAAACATTTTTCATTCTACCTCCTTCAGAATTATATTATAATAAAATAATATTCTTTACTGTTTATTTCTGTTCCAAGTGGTCGGTTGGTTTTTTATAAGAGTGAACATAGTAAATTGATAGTTTTAGGATGATGCTAAAATTAACATAGTACATTTAGCTTTTGGTGGTTTTATGTACTACTACTATTTTATATACCACTGAATAATTTGAAATTCTTAATGTGCAGTAAGAGAACTGCATCTAAACTATAGCAGAGGGAAATTAAAGCTAAACTGAGATTTATATTAGAAGACTCAAATGTTTGTTTTGGTAATTTTAGTTCTCAGACAGTACCCACCAGACAATGTATAGTTGGCTTCTAGTTTTGAAGTTTCAGTTCCAGCCTTCCTTTTCCTTTTTTCAAAAGCCATTCTATTAATAGTCAGATTTTAAAGATTTCCCCAGATAGTATTGTCTGTTGATGATCTAAAAAGTTCAAGAATGAGAATCTTAACATTATATTTCTGATTGCCAATAAGGCCTTTGTTAATGTTCTATTGCAGGTTTTTAAAAATGAGTATCAAAATATTAACTTCTTCCTCAGTGGATTGAAAGTCACATAAATTTTTAATATTTTCCCTTTTAAGGGGAAGAGACTGAACATGTAATATGGACTAGACACTGTGCATTTTATGTACTGTTTCATGTAATTCTCATTTACTTATGAGACAAGTGGGGCTTCCTTCATAGCTCAGTTGGTAAAGAGTCTGCCTGCAATGCAGGAGACCCCGGTTCAATTCCTGGGTCAGGAAATTCCCCTGGAGAAGAGAAAGGCTGCCTACTCCAGTATTCTGTCCTGGAGAATTTCAGGGACTCTACAGTCCATGAGGTCACAAAGAGTCGGACACGACTGAGTGACTTTCACTTCACTTCACTTCACTTCACTTTATGAGACAACTATTATTTTTCTTAGAAAACAAAAGTAACTGACCCAAGGTGACATGGTCACCAAGTGCTAAAGTTCACATTTAAATCCTGGTCACACTCCAAGTTGCATCATCTTTTCATTCTACAATGTTGCTTTTCACCTTTTAATTTCATTAAAGTTTTGTACAGTTATAGTCCAGTAATAATTTTTAGCTTGCTAAGGTTTTAAAAAAATTATTTTTGATTGTGCTGGGTCTTGGTTGCTGCTCAGATTTTTCTCTAGTTCTGGCGAGGCGGGGCTACTTTCTACTTGCGGTGCCTTCTCTTGTGGCGCCTTCTCTTGTGGCGCACGGGCTTAGTTGCCCTGTGGCACGTGGGATCTTCCCAGATCAGCGATCAAACCAGTGCCTCCTGCACGTTGGCAGATGGATTCTTTACCACTGAGCCACCATGGAAGCCCTAGCTCACTGATTTTAAACGTGCTCATTATAAATTTTGAAGTTCTTAATTCACATTTCACAATAAAACTAGTTATTTTGATCTCTGTTGTAAGCATGCTTTAGTTGGAAAAATGGAATGAATTTGAGAAAATTTACTGACTCAAGTAATTGAACCATATTTAATGCTAATTTTAATAATTTAGTTAGGTTGTAGGTATTTGTCAAACATGATTTTAGTGGATCTGTAAGTGTTTATAACTCAAGAGTAGACTTTAGTAATTCACAGTGTAGTGTGAATAATTAAAATCAACCATTTGTATTACTTTGAAGACAAATCTTTTTGACGTCTTTTAGAAGTGTTTATTACTTCTTCAAGAGGGATGAAACTAAGGGGTGATTTACCGTCTAAATTTTCCTCTAATCTCAGATACCATTCATAATGAAATGGAAATTCTTTTCTGTGCTTCAGATATTTCCATATACTGTCAACTTAAATAAAGTTTTATAAATGATGACTAATTTGGGCTATTCTGAAATTATTAATAGCAAAACTGATGAATGTAGGTTGATGATTAAATTTTTTAATATTTAATTGTTCTTTTAGATGACATTAATCACATACTTAGAAAATTTTTAAAATTTCCAAGAATACTATTCTCTTGAATAGTATTTAAGGACTATTTCAGAAGGGTAAAATTTAGAATGCAGGCTTGAATACAGCACTTTACAAACAGGAAATTAAATGTATATTTCACAGTAACTTTTCCTTTTTTTTTTTTACTCTAACATTCTTGGAGGAAGTCTAATATTTGACAGCTTGCTGTCTAACTTGCTGTGTCTTAATGTAGACAGTTTAAAATCTATAATCTCTCAAAAGGTTGACATAACTATATTTAAATTCTTATTTCTCCACTTTTGGCTAACTTGTGGAAATTTTTTTTTCTTCTTTAGATATAGATGCCCTTGTAGGAGGAGAAGTGGGAGGCCTGGAATTTGGCAAGTTACCATTTGGTGCCTGTGAAGATCCCATTAGGTGTGACTTTCATTATATGATTTGAATTATGGGACTTTTAAAATTCTATTTGATGTTGATTTTACTGTGTTTTATAATACTGCAGCCTCCTGGAATGAATGTAGTACTGGAAATAGAGACCTACATGTAATAATCTGTCTTTTTCTTTTTTTCCTCTGTAACTTAAGAAGTAAAAGAGGGTTTAAAGTAATATGTAAAATATATATAATACACTTAATGTATTAAGTGTATATTAATATAATACATTAATGTAATGTATAATGCAATATAATATATAATAATTTCATTAATACATTAATGTAATTAACGCTTAATGTATAAGGAATCACTTATAGAAGTGATTCTTGGCTTACTTTGGGGAAACATTTTAAATGTGGAAAAGCACAGACATTGTCATATAACACAAATTTTCATATGTCCATGACCCAGAGTTAACAATTTTTTGCATTTTTCCTGGCCACTTTTCAAAATTAAGACTTAAATAAGAGACACAAGGGTGACCTTATAGGTTACCCAATTGTTTTTGTAGAGGAACTACTGAACTTAAAGAATAAAAACAACTGTTTCATGAGAAAATGTAGGGGTTAGAAAACTTCATCAATGATAGCAAAATATTTGGAAAATATAAACAGTGCTGATATAAAAACTATCTCATTCGTTAAACTATTTGGTTATTTTAAAATATATATATTCATATTTTGTTGTTCAGTTGTTAAATTGTGTCCGACTCTGCGACCTCATGCTGTGACTGCAGCACGCCAGGCTTCTCTGTCCTTCACTATGTCCTGGAGTTTGCTCAAATTTGTCATGTCCATTAAGTCAGTGATGCTATCTAACCATCTCATCCTCGGCTACCCTCTTCTCCTTTTGCCTTCTTTAATACTCTCACTTAAATTGTGGAAATAATAATACTTTTAACTTAAAGTCACCTAAGGGAGACAGTAAAGTGGATATCTTTTAAAATTGGTATTTATTATATGTACCAGACACTATGCTAAGAGGAAGATACTGAAGTAAGTAAAACTGATAGATTCTGCCTTCTCGGCATTTATGGTCTAATTAAATAAAATGAACTAATCACCCAAGTAAACTTAGAATTATACATTATGGGATAATTTGAAGGAAAACTATAGGACGCATTGATAGTAAACTGAGTGACTAGATTTGTGTGCCATCAGCAAAGTCTTCTCAAAGGAAAGGGTATTTATTCTGAGTCTCAATCAGGGAAGAATTTAGCCAGGCAGAGAATGAGAGAATGACTGTTCCAGGTGAAAGGAAGAGCCTGTGCAAAGCACCGCGATGCAGGAAAGAGCTTGGAAAGTTTACTGAAGGAAACAAAAGGTGGCTATCATGGCTAGAATGTAGTGAGCAAGCAAGAAATGGTGTGGGCTGGATACAGATATAATTGTGGCCTCCAATGGGGTCATTTATTTGAATTTTACTTAGAGTAAATTTTAGGGGGAGTACAATAAACTGACCTGATAGAAATGTGAAGGTTTTAATTATTAAATATTTCTTCCAAATCTATATTGTGATGAGGAGTCAGTCAGCAAAGGAACAAGTGATTGAAGGACACAGAAATAAGTTGAGGGTAAGATGGTGCATGTGACACACCATTTAAATCAAACAGTGATGAGCAGATATTGTGGGCACAATGCTTTTGAAAAGGCATCTTTAATAGTGAAAGAGGAAATGAAGAGCCTTTTTCAGTGTCTTGTCTCATTGTCAAAGAAATTTTTCTATAGTTAGCGGGAGAGGAAAGGACTTAATCATAAAAGCTTAGGAATTGAATTTGAGGGTCATACTTTAAAAAATTCAGTAGTGGATAGTTTTAAATTTCAAATTATTCTAGTCATTTAAACAATATATCACATATTGTGATCATTTTTTACCTTAATTAGTTTTATTATGAATAATAAATTCATGTTCAGTGCAGAAAAAATGGGCAAAAATCATATGTTTAGTAGTCACACTGTGTAGTTGCAAACTGTAATAGTCAACTCTAATTCAAGCAAAAAATCAGTGTATTGGATAGATACTTAGTAACACAAATGTTTAACTGGGACCATTGTAGACCCAGGCTCAGAAAATAGCCTTAAGCCAAGCCTGCCTAGTTGTCTGGTTCATAACCCAGGTTACACTGCATTGTTGTGGAGTCCTGGCCCACTGTGAATTCCTAACAGTGCTTAAAGATTCAGATTCTCAGACTGGAGTTGCCAGTTAATCAAGCATCACCGAAGAGCAGAGAAATGAACTAATTGACCCTTTTGACTTCTATATTCTCCAAACATAAGAAGTGAGGTCAGAATCTAGACAGGAGGAAAAAAAATCACTAAATTTATAATCACCTACTCCTAAGTGATCACTGACAACAGCTTGCTGTATGTGCTTCCGGCCATTTTTCATATGTATGAATTAGGTGTGTATATGTACATGTTTATGTGTATATATGCAGCAGATCCCCCCAACACCACCCTCAAGTTGATTTGCTAGGAGAACTTGTAGGACTCAATAGCTGTGCTCATGCTTATTTACTAAGCAAAGCAATATGGTGCCAGAGTCAACAAAGGGTAATGGCATATGGGGTGAGGTCCAGAGCAAATGAAGGACAAACTTCATCTTCCCATGTAGTCACACAGGACACATTTAATTCTCCTAGCAATGAATTGTGACAGCTTGTGTGAAAGGCTGTCTACCAGGGAAGCTCCCTAGAGGCTCAGCACTTAGAAGTTTTAATCAGAGACTGATCATGTAGGCACCCTCTGGCTAGCATGTACCAGAAGGAAACCAGATGTTTCCATCAACCATGTTGTTGGCACAGGTAATTTAGGTACAGGGAATGATAGGAACCCTCTTGAAATTCAAGTTCCCAGATGCCAAACCAGGGACTAGCCTTGCAAGTAATCCTTTCTCAGTGTTAGGCCTGCTATGGTAACTCTTTTCTGCTCAGTATTTTTATTTATTTTATAAATATATGTCATACATTTTTTGTGGCTTGTTATTTTATAATTTTACATGAAACCTTTCTGAAATTTAATTTTCATCTATAAAAAGAGGTCAGCAAACTATGACCTGTGGACCAAATCTGGCCAGTGGCCTGTTTTTATATATGTAATGAGCTAAATTACCATAGTTTAACGGGCTGAACTCTGGATGGTGAAACTGCAGCCCAGAAGATGTCCCTACAGTTAGCCCATGAATGTGCCCAGAATCTGTTCACACCGTGGATGGTCTTCACGGGGCTAGGTCTTGTTCACCCCATGCCCTTCCCAAGACGCACCCCTTCTGATATAATGGAGTAGGGATCCGCTAGGCCTCCAGCAGAGCCTGCACCAGGCTTCCAGCAGATCTGCTCAGATATTGATGCCACTTAGCCACTCTACCCTTCATGGGTCTCCACCAGTGAAAGCCACCCCAAGCACACCAAAGGCTCAGGGGGTGAAGTCTCAACCCAAGAAAATTCTAGCAGAAATCATGCTCCCAAACCTCGTGAGACAGTGAGACTTTCCTTACCAGATCTTCTTCATCAGGAAGACTGGTGACAGTCAATCTCAAGGTCGAGCTGCACCAATGCCTCCAGATGATGGACCCCGAGAGCCTTAGAGAGCAGCTGTCCCCAACCTTCAGGCACCAGAAACGGGTTTCATGGAAGACCAGGGTGGCGGATGGTTTCAGGATGATTCAAGCACATGCCATTTATTATGTACTTTATTTCTCTTCTTATTATTGCCTCAGATCCCTGGGTTGGGAAGATCTCTTGGAGAAGGGAATGGCAACCTACTCCAGTTTTCTTGCCTGGGAAACCCCATGGACAGAGGAGCCTGGCGGGCCACAGTCCATGGGGTCACAAAGAGACATGACTTAGTGACTAAACAATAACAAGGGACTCAGAGTGGTTTTACATTTTTGAGGGTTTTAAAAGAAAAAAACAAGAATATAGCAAACTATTAATACATGGCCCATAAAAAGCACAAAATACTTATGAGAGGGTCCTTTGTAGAAAAAGTATGCCAATCTCTGAACTATAAAAATATTTTCAAAATTGAGCTATAACTTATGTACCATACAAGTCACAGTTTTAAAGTATGCAATTTAGTGTTTTTAGAGTTCAGAGTTGTGCAACCATCATTAGTATCTAATTCCAGAACATTTTCATTACCCCAAAAAGAAACCCCTCACCTCTTAACTGTCAACCGTCCCCCCGCCCCCGCCATCCCAGTCTCCCTAGGGCCTCTAGCTGTAGACTGATATTAATGTACTTTTTGCCTATATGGATTTGCCTTTTCTGGACATTTCAAATAGGTTGGATTATACCATATGGGACCTTTTGTATCTGGCTGTTTTCACTTAACATCTTTTAGAGGTTCATTTACATTGTAGTGTAGATCAGTACAGCATTGCTTTTTGTGACCACAGGATATGCTGTCCTATGGAGTAGTGCTACATTTTACTTAACTCATCAACTGACAAACATTTGGTTTACTTAGACTTTTTGGTTATTATGTATAGCATGGTTTTTTCTTGTAGACATTCAGTTCAGTTCAGTCACTCAGTCGTGTCTGACTCTTTGCGACTCCATGAATCACAGCACACCAGGCCTCCCTGTCCATCACCAACTCCCGGAGTTTACTCAAACTCATGTCCATTGAGTCTGTGATGCCATCCAGCCATCTCATCCTCTGTCATCCCCTTCACCTCCTGCCCCCAATCCCTCCCAGCATCACGGTCTTTTCCAATGAGTCAACTCTTCGCATCAGGTGGCCAAAGTATTGGAGTTTCAGCTTCAACATCAGTCCTTCCAATGAACACCCAGGACTGATCTCCTTTAGGATGGACTGGTGGGATCTCCTTGCAGTCCAAGGGACTCTCAAGAGTCTTCTCCAACACCATAGTTCAAAAGCATCAATTTTTCAGCGCTCAGCTTTCTTTACAGTCCAACTCTCACATCCATACATGACCACAGGAAAAACCATAGCCTTGACTAGATGGACCTTAACTTAATATAAATATGCCACCATTTGCTAAACCAGGTGCTTACAGTTTTATTATATTACAAATTGTGACCATTCTTAACATACTTTTTTTGGCATATTTCTGGTTATTTACTGAGGATACAATTCTAGAAGTATAATTATTGAATCAGAGTATATATACATTATTAAAGCTTACAGATATATTGTATGTTTTGTTTTAGTGAACTCCATTTAGCAACTACATGGCCTCACCTGACTGAAGGTATCGTTGTGGATAATGATGTTTATTCGTAAGTATGTTAAAAATAGTACATTGAGAGTCACAGATTTCAAAAGACTAAAACTAACTGCCCAGTGGGTTAGCAGTTTTTCTTTGAATCAATTTCTGGTATGGTTGTTTGCTTTTGTTTTTAAAGATCAGTGTTTAGACTGACTGATGTATATTAGAAATGTGTTTTAAGCTGTGGACTTTGGAGACAGGATCCTTAGTTCCAGGGTAATGAGCAGTCTGAATCTTACTTGGGCTTAGCAAAGAGGTCTCTAGTTAGTTTGGGAGTGAGTGCATAATTCTGTTGGACTTTTTGTAGCTGGCAAGAACATTTGATAAACGATTTTTAAGAGATGATGGTCATTAAAATATGTAGGGAGAACATTTGATCATTAAATGCCATAAATAACAAAACATCCATATCATATACTCCTGTACAATGGAAAAATTGCACAGGAAAAAATTGAAAATTGCAGCGAGCGCTACTATCCCAGAAGAATATGGGGAAAGAGGAATGTAGTTTTGGTATCTTCTCATGCTTGATGCAGAACAGTGAGAAATAGGACACTTTTTTTTAATAGTTAAAATAAATGTGTTCTATTTTCTGATGGTAAAATAACACAGGCTTTTAAAATCAGATAATTTGGATGAGTATAAAGAAGAAAGATTACCTACAATTCTATTACTTAAAAAAATAACTAGTTAGCATTTAAGGGTATTTGTTTTTAAAGTATAAATTTATATATTAATTTGCTTTATTCATATAATACAGATATTCATTGAATAGATGTAGATCTGTGTTGTCAATTTGTAAAGTACTATATAATATCCCATTAAGCGAGTACAGCATAATCTGTTTAACTGAGAAAATGGGGCACTTGATCTTGTACAAGTTTTTATAGTTTTCTTTTTTATTAATAAATAGTGTAATAAAAAACAGATTAGGATTATTGTACATTTTTGCTTGTTTCTCATTTCTCATTTTGTTTTATTTATTCCTAAAATATTCTCCTTAGGTTATCATTGTATGTTGCCTGATCAGAATCATTTTTATGCTTTTTGATTAGTTCTGATTTTGATTTTTTTGTTTGTACTTTTTTGTCTAAGAATTTTGTCTTAAGGTTTTATTTTTAAAAACTCATCTAAATGGCCTTCTGCATGTGAATAGCAGTAAGTTTAAGGGAGGCAAAATGGATTGCTTATCCTTCTATATAATGTTTTCATTAGACTGCATTTTGGTAAATTTATGAGCCTTGAAGATTGCTGTAAATAGGATCTTATGTTGTCCCCCCCCCCCCAAGGAACTAGTGTCTTTTATTTTTTATTTTATTTTTTTTTTCCATTTATTTTTATTAGTTGGAGGCTAATTACTTTACAGTATTGTGGGTTTTGCCATATATTGACATGAATCAGCCATTATCCTTTTGCATTTTAGTGATTTGGATCCTATGCAGGCTCCCCATTGGTCTGTTAGAGTTCGAAAAGCTGATAATCCTCAGTGTTTACTAGGTAAGATATTTATGTTCCTTTCCTGAAGTACCACATATTTGTCTATTCTCCAGATCAGGAACACTGGATATATTCTTTATACTTTATTTCACCTATCTGAAAACTTTTTAAAATTTTTTTACATTGTGACCTCCTTGGTTGACATCATTAAAAGTTAATCTTTGTCAACAGCAGTGACTCTCTCTGGTTATTCCTAAATAATACTAGCAGACTTTCTCTTGTCATTTAGTTTTAACCAGCCTACACCTCAGAATTCTCTTATGTTTTCCGAGGATCTGAGTTTTATTTTCCTAATGCTTTATGTCACTTCTTTTTTTCCTTCTGTGGCATACTCTGCTTCCATTCTGGCTAGTGGAACCCTTTTTGTCTTTTGTCATCCCTCTACAGTTGCAGTATATGATAGGATGAACACTGAATTTGATGGTCTTATTAGATCCTTTCTGTAGGGCTCTGTACTGTATCTGCAGATATATTTTCTGATAGAGGAAAAGAGGTGTAAATAATCTTGTACATGTCATAGGGATATTTGAAGTGAGATAACAATATGTGAAAGTGAAAGTCACTCAGTCGTGTCCAACTGTTTGCAACCCCATGGACTATACAGTCCTTGGAATTCACCAGGCCAGAATACTGGAGTGGGTAGCCTTTCCCTTCTCTAGGGAATCTTCTCAACCCAAGGATTGAAGCCAGGTCTCCTGCATTGCAGGCAGGTTCTTTACCAGCTGAGCCACAAGGGAAGCCCAAGAATACTGTAATGGGTAGCCTATCCCTTCTCCAGCAGATCTTCCTGACACAGGAATTGAACCGGGGTCTCCTGCATTGCAGGCAGATTCTTTACCGACTGAACTATCAGGGAAACCCTGATAAACGTTATAGAAATATTATAGAAATGTTCTATAACATTTAGGACATATAGAACATTTCTATAACATTTTAGAAATGTTATAACATTATAGAAATACTTTAAAAACTATCATTCACTCTTCAGGTCATAATTATTATATCCCATATCTAGAACTATCTTTCTCTTCCTGCTTTTGTAGATAATGTCTCTTTTATGAAGTCTTCTGAACTTCCTCCTCTTTCCAGTCTTTTTCTCTCTTATATTTAGTGGATGTGAAAATTATTTTCTCCATTTCTGTGTTCATCCATGCCACGTTTATTTCATACAACCTGATACATTACCATTCAACTGATGGAGTTATTACTAAATATTTATTGATGAGAGTATTGGGGTATTTCCTTAAAGCATTTTTTTTACTGAGCTCTGTATCATTCATCATGTTATTCATTAAGTGCTAATTAGTGTTTACATATATAAGGTAAAATTCCTGCCACTGGTATCTTTGTCTTGAGGTATAGGGAAGTAGTGAGGCTTCCCTGGTGGCTCAGTGGTAAAGAATCTGCCAGTCAATGAAGGAGACACTAAAGACGTGTGTTTGATCCCTGGGTTGGGACGATGCCCTGGAGAATAAATGCCTACCCACCAGTATTCTTGCCTGGGAAACTCCATGGGCAGAGGAGCCTGGCAGGCTTCCCAGGAGGTTGCAGAGAGTCAGACACAACTTGGTGACTAAAACAATACGAAAATTGGGAGGTAGGTAGACAGGTGATATGAAATGTTTTAGAGTTGGATAGACCTTGTTTTAAATCCTAGATCCACCAACTTCATGAGAAAAGATACTATTTATCTTATTCAGGCCAATAGTAAGTGCTTAATATTACTACGTCCAATTACTTTTCCTTTCATTCTAGAGGGAATTACAAGAAAAAACTTTTACTATCCGGGGACACAGAGGGAAAGTAAAAGCAAGGCTACCTTTGAAATGGGATTAATTTTTTGCATTGGGTGGAGAAACTGAATGGTTCTTTTTCTTTCCTTTTTCTTTTTTGTCAAACTTAATGCATTTTTATGACCAGAATTGCAACAAGAGTGGCAAGTGTCTCTCATTTTTTTTTATACTGGGTCAAGACTAATCTCATCGCCTTGCTCAGATGTCAGCCTCTTGACTGGAAGGGCAGGTAGATCATGCAACAGTTCAGTTTTTTAAAAAAATTTTTTATTAGAATATAGTTGCTTTATAATGTGTTTCTGTTGTACAGCATAGTGAATCAGTTACATGTATACATATATCTCTTCTTTTTAAAATTTCTTTCCTACTCAGGTCAGTGCAGAGCACTGAGTAGAGTTCCCTTGAATGTTTTTTTTTCTGCCATATGTTGAAACTGAAAGTGAAATCGCTAAGTCATGTCTGACTCTGTGGACTGTAGCCTGCCAGGCTCCTCCATCCATGGGATTTTCCAGGCAAGAATACTGGAGTGGGTTGCCATTTCCTCTCCAGGAGATCTTCCCAACCCAGGGGTTGAACCCAGGTCTCCCGCACTACATAGTCTACCATCTGAGCCACCAGGGAAGCAATATGTTAGTTAATAGCTTTTGTGAAAAGACATGTACCTTTATTTATAGGACTGACTTCTTTCAGTTACATTTCAAAAACGAGTAACATTTTTTCTGTGTAGGTGATTTTGTCACTGAATTTTTTAAAATTTGCCGTCGAAAGGAGTCAACTGATGAGATTCTTGGACGATCCACATTTGAGGAAGAAGGGAGAGGTGACTTAACTTTTTCTCTTTTTTAAAGTTATTTTCAAATGTCTAACTCCTTCACATTTTCCAGCAACTTTTCATCTATTTTTCTCATTCAGGTTATATTAGGGAATCAAGTTTTGATGAACTAAACAGCTACCATTTTCTCTTGGCTATACCCTGAGCTTAAAACATTGTGTGATTAACAAGAAAATGTAAGATATTTTTAAAAATAGAGTTTTAGAGGTTTATTTTTGAAGTTCCTGGGCAGAAATTGTTACACCTTTGTTAATCATGCATCCATATAAAGCTGAACATGTGTATTAATGAAAAGTCACTGATGAAAAGAGTGACTAAAGTATTCTGTATAGTCATCAGTTCATTCATCACTTTAACCTGCTAGGTTGGTGATGTAATATGTATTCATTTCTATTCTTTTTATAGAAATTGCTGATATAACTCATGCTTTGTCAAAGTTGACAGAGCCTGCACCGGTTCCAATTCATAAATTATCAGTCTCTAACATGGTGCACACTGCAAAGAAGAAAATACGGAAGCACAGAGGTGTAGAAGAATCACCACTGAATAATGATGTCCTCAATACTATTCTCTTGGTAACTAAATGTAATGTTTTTATGTGTCTGTATGCACATTCATTTATTACCTATTCAGTTCCATCTGTGTGGCAGGTACTAGATGGGGATATAAAATGAGTAAAACACAGTCTCCACATTCAGAGTTGCCACTGGTGTAGTGAGAATAAGAAAAATGAACAGTAATTACAATACCATGTTACATGTAAGAATTCTGGCACAGGGCCTGTGAGAACACAGCAGAGGGTGCATCTGTCTGTCTGAGCAGTGGGAATCAGGGAAAGCTTCATAAAGAGGGGACAATTGAGCTAGTCATAAATGGATGAAGGTTTAGAAGTGGACAAATTGCAGGGGCCTGAGAGAGCATGTCAGACAATCTGGTAGATGGCAGGGTGCTTCCCAGAGGGGTCAGGGTTGAGACTGGAGAGTAGGTAGTGAAGTGCTTGCTGAAGCATGGGACTTCATCTTACAGTTTAATGCCATTTAAAGCAGAAGGTTGACATGATCAAAATGGTACTCTCGAAAACTTTATAGCAAGTACTAGAGGGGGCTAGGATGTCTCCTAGGCATAGGCTGGTGGAACAGGTCCGGCCCAGGAGCCGCACACACCAGGGTTAATCCTGATTGATTGTTTGAACAAGCCGTTTAACTTCAGTTTCTTCCTCTGAAGTGAATCTATTAAAAGCCTGTGAGGTTGTTGGATGGATTAAAGGACCTTCTGTTACACTGGTATTTAATAGACCTTTGCTAAATGGTAGCTATTCTTACTATAATTGTAGTTACAGTCTTACTTCTGACAACCTGTGCATTAAGACATTCTTGGGAAAAACCTGTAAGAGTAGTGCAATGAAAAGAATATAGAACTTGAAAACTTAAAGTTAATTTTAGCCCTGCTGTTTATCTGAGAAAGACTTTCAGCCAGATTTTTACTTTGTTTATTTGTAAGAGATGTGGGCACTGATACATAGCTCACGTAGTGGTATGAAAATAGGATATGGTGCATAAATGTGATTAGTAGTGGAGGTTGTTCCTCTCCTTAAGAAGAAAAATCTCTTCAACATGTTCTGTAGTACATGGCAAAGTATGCAAAGGAATTACAAGTCAGCGGTACCACAAAACACTTAGGGAGATTAGTGATTAAAGGATTGAAAATAAATTTCTGTAGAGAAGGCCCCTTCTTAAGGATAGATCCTTAAGAGATTTTATTCCAATTATGTAGCTCAGTTGATGCACTGCAATTTTTTTTTTTAACTACTTTGCACACCCTCACATATGCACCCTCACCCTCACATAAATCCTCACATGTGTTAACAGAAATCATGTAGGAAAGATGTATCGGTCATTACAGGCTTAGTCTGCTTCCCACTTTCTATAAGTATCTTGTAAGATAAAATTATGGGTCTTTAATTCATACTTGTAGCATTTCATATATGAAAACCTGTGGGTTGTATTTCTCTATGGAGCCTCACAAATGTTTGGGTGTTTAAAATTTTTCTTTTTATAATTTTATCTATTTAATAATAACACTTTTAAAAAAATTTAATGACCTTGGATGAGCCTGAAATCATAGTGCACAGATTCTGGTTTTGCATTCTGTGAATTAAACAATTCACAGAACCTGGTGGTTACATTTAAGAAAAATCTGATTTTAAAATTGACTAGTGACTCTGCTTTTTGGAGAAAAATAGAAAATATTTGAGATAGTGTAGAACCAACTGGCCAGTACAGTAAGAGCATTCTCATTGTTTTAAAAACACGACTGTTAAGATGTCAAATGGTGTTTATAAGAGTTACAAGAGTCTGCAAAGGAAGAAATTTCATTGAAAATGTGATTATTTTCTTTCTTTCCCATAAGTTCTTATTCCCTGATGCTGCTTCTGAGAAACCATTAGATGGGACTTCTTCAACAGACAACAGTAATCCTCCACTAGAGAGTGAAGAATATGTAAGTTAATTGATGATAAATGTTTAAAATACATTGAATTTCTAGGGATTTTGCTATATTTCTAGCAACAGTCATGAAATTTACTTCACAACAATGACTACTGAAAACAGTTTTATATCTCTATAACTGTCATTTAAGCTCTTCCTCAGTTTAACAAAGACTTGGATGAGGAAAACATGACAATTTTCTAGCATTCACTATAAAACTTTCTCTGTTGTGAAATAAGGATCTTTTTATTGTAAAAATCACCTTAGGAAAACTTGAGTGAAGATCATGGCCTCCATTCAGTGACCTACTATAAAATGTTAACATAGATACATATTTTGGGTAAAAGAAGTTTTCTGGAAATAATGAAAAAATATACTGTGTATGATTAATAGGATATCCTTCAATTTAAACTTTTCATAAGTCATCAAATTTATGTTTTGCAATGGATTCTTCTTTGTATTTCAAAACTAGACAGAGTAGAAACTTCTTTAATGAGGTAATGTGTAAAATGAAGTAAAATGTTTGTTTTCCTTTTTGAAGTCTTTGATAAATTGAGAAATAAGTTTAAATGACTGATGTAGAGATATGTCAAATTGTTAACAATACTGTTAGGAAGTGATTTCATGAAGTGAGAAGGAAAAGCAGAGCTTTACATTTTTCGTTTATACACCTCTGATTTTATGTTTTTGATTTTGGCAGGTGTGTATTCATTTGTAATTATAAGATCTTTATAACACATGAAATTTAGAGTATATCTTTAAAGATTTCACAAAAGAAACTGAAAGCTGTACCTTTAGCCTCACTAAAATATAGTGTCACTTTTTGATCCTTGTAGAGGATCAAAACATGGAAACATGGAGCTGCCTAAGAACAATATAGGCAATAATGTTTTAGACATTTGATAAAAGCCTGGCTGTTAGGATAGATTAATTTCAGGTATTAAAATCTCTGCCTACACAGTTTCTGATTATACATGTAAATGTATTGTTAACAAGTTTTGTTTGTTTCTATTTTGTTAAATTTAGAATCTCTACAATCAGTTCAAATCTGCACCATCTGATAGTTTAACATACAAGTTGGCTTTGTGTCTTTGTATGATCAATTTCTACCATGGAGGACTGAAAGGAGTGGCACATCTCTGGCAGGAATTTGTTCTTGAAATGCGTTTCAGATGGGAAAACAACTTTCTGATTCCAGGGTAATAATTTCAATTCCCGATTGTAGAGAGAGGATTTTTATTTGTTCACAAAATTTGACTTCTGACTCATTAATTCTCCTCTTGTAGGAAATCTGCCCCAAGAAAATGATAAGAAACTTAGAATATGATTTTTGTTCATTGGTGTTCACTGCAACAAATTTATAATAGGAAGAAAAAGTTACTCTAAGTATCAGACATTAAGTTAGTTCAGTCACTCAGTTGTCTCCGACTCTTTGTGACCCCATGAACTGCAGCATGCCAGACTTCCTTGACCATCACCAACTCCCGGAGCCTACTCAAACTCATGTCCATCGGGTCGGTGATGCCATCTGACTGTCTCATCCTCTGTCGTCCCCTTCTCCTCCCGCCTTAGATCTTTCCCAGCATCAGGGTCTTTTCCAATAAAGAGTGTTTAAATAAATCATCATGTATTTCTATAATGGAAAGTTTTTTTCCAAGAATCCCTATTAACATAGAAGATGATCACAATATTTGTAGTAAAGTAGACTGTAGTGTTATGTATACAGTGCTTTCAACTATGCTGATAGAGAATATTAGAAAATAGAATACATATAGAAATATGTATAGAAAAATAATTGGAGAGAAGTATAACCAAATGTTAACAGTAGTTTAGTTGGAGGGAAAACATCTTTAGAGTTCAGAAGTTTGGGTATTAAATATTACCTATAATTTTTTTTACATAGCTCATGTTGACATTTCACTTAAAGAGTTTAGCATATATGTTGAAACTGTGTAGGTTACTGTTCATTTGCCCATCCTACTCAAACTAAGGGAGGAGAATCATGATATTGGTAATACAAAATGGTAACTGATCAAAAAATGTTTACTCCCAAATCATTTGCCGCCTCTACTTAGCTGGATTCTCTCTTAGCTAATTGCTGGGAACCACCTCATTTAGATTAGAGGAAATCCAGGCTCCCTTCAGCAAAAGAGAGGTGGAGATCAGTGGTTTTTATATTGAGAATCTACCATAATGATTGAGAACTGAATAAATAGTATAATTTCTTTTGTAGTGTTTGAAAGACTGCATGCTAGCTACTTCCTAGGGTGGATTTCAAGGCTTTAAATTTTTAGTTTCTGTTAGCTTGAGAGCTATCACTACTTTTGTCTGTTGTACTTGCTATTGGTAAATTATGGACTAAGAGAATAAAACACATTTTGATCTTTTAATTTTATTTGCTCCATCTAAGTTGCCTAATCTGTAGAAGTCTAGTTTTGCTTTCTTATCTATGTGGCTTAAATATATGGTGGTATAAAAATATGCATATCTGAAGCAATTCTACTGATAAGCTTTTTTCTAATACTTTATTTGATAGATTAGCAAGTGGACCCCCAGATCTAAGATGCTGTTTACTGCATCAGAAGCTACAGGTAAAAATTTCCGAGTGGCAGTATATAATTTGTGACAGTGGTTAGGTCAAGTTATTCTGACATTAAATGTAATAATAGATTATAGGCTGTTCTCATTGTGTTGCTGTAGGTTACATAAGTCACTGTCTTTCACACCAAGGTCCAGGGAAAGGGTGGAGACTGAAAATAAAATATTCAGGCAGTGGATAAATTTTTACTGTAACTGTCACTGGCGGAACAGCAATTTCCTCAGTCCTCGTCCTTGCAAAGGAAAAAATTCTTTCGAGAGATATAAAGCAGTTTTAAGCAGCAGGAGTTTTATTAAGCAAAGAGAAAATAAGCTCCCATGAAAGGATGAGAATGGGCTGTCTAGAAACCAGAAACTGCCCTGAAGTGGGGGTCGGGTTGGTTTTTCAGAGTGGTGGAAATTCTCTTCCTGTGTCTTGTGTTGTTTGACAAGTTGATTGATGCTTTAGCGTATATAACCTGCATCCTTGTGCACAGGTGCTTACCCATGAGCACCCACGCAAAGCCCACAGAGGGCGGGCAAAAACTGCAGTGCTGGTTTATTACAAACACAGTGTAATGAGCCCTGGGTTACTTTGAGTCACCTTTTAGGTCTTGGCGCACCTGTGCCAACCTGTGCTGGAAGTTTTTTTCTAGCTTGCTCCTAATAAGTCTGGGAACTTAGGGATCCTGGACCACAAAAGCAAGGATCTCTGGGTGTATTCTGATCACCAGTGTCCAGGTAGGGGAAGGAAGGATAACTCTGTCCAGGACATGGCTGGGACCCATGCATGTCTGACTAACAATTTGTATATAATAATAACTATAATAATAAAATAATAATTTTGTTTCTCTTTTCTTAAGATGTTAAATTGTTGTATTGAAAGAAAGAAGGCACGTGATGAGGGGAGAAAGACAAGTCCTTCAGATAATGTGACTAATACATATTCAGGGGATGCTGGAAAATCTGGAGATCAGCTGGGGCCAGATAATCTGAGAGAGACAGATAAGGACAAAGGAGAGGTGGGAAAATCATGGGATTCTTGGAGTGATAGCGAGGAAGAGTTTTTTGAATGCCTAAGTGATACTGAAGAACTTAAGGGAAATGGACAAGAGAGTGGCAAAAAAGGAGGACCTAAGGAGATGGCAAGTTTAAAGCCAGAAGGACGACTCCATCAGCATGGGAAACTCACACTGCTACATAATGGAGAACCTCTCTACATTCCAGTGACCCAGGTGGGACAGAGACTGGTTCTTTAACTTGTATTTTTGTTGTTGTTATTGTTGTTTATATAACTTTATCCTAGTAGGAGATGATTGCTTTGGATAAAGGCACTACTTTAAACAGTCTGTGTCTAAAGATCTATAGATTTGAAATCCAAATAAACTATTGGGATTTTTAGGTCTACTATTTGTGCTACTGAGAAATGTTTTGAAGTTTCAGTAGATAGTACTTCATCATGTATACGGTGACCTGTTATTTCTTCGGGTGTTTAAAAAAACAAAATTCAAAACTACTGGTGGGAAGAACAAAAGTAAAAATGCTTGATTTATGTAATTAGTTCTTACATCTGTTCAACATGTAGTTTGAACACATTTTATACCATTAGGAAGTGGATTAGCAGCAGCTCAAGACCTAAGGAAGAGCAATGGTTTTTGGGTTTTTTGGGGTTTTTTTGCATAGGTAATAAGTGCATATATTTTACTGTGAAAATCTCAGTCTAGAAAAAGTGAAAGTAACCACCCATTAATTCCAGTTCTTATCTGTAGAAATAACCGTTATTATTGGTTTGGGTTATAGTTTTTTATACCTATTTCTATGGATTGATATATATACACGTATACATATGGTACATAGTTTTGTGGACTTTTAAAAATCTGTGTATTGATATGTAGCTTTTTAACCTAAAAGCTTGAAGATCTCTTCGTGTCATTACATATAGATCTACTTCATCTCTTTAACTGCTGTACATGGAAGAGCCATAGTTTAACTCTTTGTCTCTTAATGCATAATATGTTATTTGAAGCTTATTGCTATGATCATGCTGCAGTATAAATTCTTGTTTTTCAATATTATCTGTTTTACATATGAATGTTTCTCCAAGGGAGAAATGGAATTTCTAGATAAATATATAAGTTATAAAATTCCTCTTCAAAAGGGCTGTACCTATTTTATATCCCATCATTGATGAGTATAGGAATAAGGGAATACTGCTATCTCCCCAACTTTCTTTTCACACTTCCTTCCTTCCTTCCATAAATATGTGTTGAGTACCTAGTATAAACCAGCGACTGTCTTGGGACTATAGGATTTTAGTAGCAAAATTATATAGTACATTTCTTGAGCTTGTGTTACTTGTATTCATATTTTATTTAATTTTTTATAAAAATCTGACATTATGAGTCATAAAAGCTTTTGCCAATATGATGGGCAGAAGTGGTATCTCAATGTTCTAGATTGTATTTCCCTGATTTTTGGTGAACCTTAGTGTCTTTTTAATATGTTTATAGCTATCCTTTCCTATAAGTTGCATTCCATTTTTCTTTTAGGTTGATGTTCTAGTCTTATTGATTTATATGAGTCCTTTATATTTTAAATATAAATCATCTGTTATATACATTGTATATGTTTTCTCCTAGTTATTTTAAAAGCTTGTCTATTTACTTACCTATTTGAGTTATAAATTATAACTAAAGTGCACAAAATTCAAGTGCATAGTTTGAATTTTTTCATATTTGGAGACCCATTAAGCTACCACTCATATCAAGATACAGAAAAGTCTTATCATCCTAGAATAGCAGTGATCAATAGAACTTTCTTTGAAGATGAACATGAGTATTTTGTGCTCTCCAGTACTATAGCCATTATCTATATGTAGCTATTGAATACTTGAAATGTGGCTAGTGCAACTGAGAAACTGAATTTTTTATTTAATGTAATTTCCTAAAATTGTAATAGCCAGATGTACTGAATGCCATAGCCTAGTATTGCCCTCCAGGTTAACTGTTTTTCTAACTTTTATCAGCATAGGTTAGTTTTATCAGTTCTTTAATATCATCAATGAAATCATACTTTGCTTGCTCTTTGTGTATAAATGAAATTGTGTACACTTGTGTTGTTCATTTTTAACTACCCTCTGTGAGATTCATCCATGTCATTACATGAATCAATATTTGTGCATATTTTATTACTTTTATAGTATTCTATGAATATGCCACTCAATTCTTACAGTATATTGCTTATCCATTCACCTGTTGGCTTCCCTGGTGGTTCAGTCGATAAAGAGTCTGCCTGCAATGTGGGTGACCTGGGTTTGATCCCTGGGTTGGGAAGAACCCCTAGAGAAGGAAATGGCAATCCACTCCAGAATTCTTGCCTGGAGAATTCCATGGACAGAGGAGTCCATGGGGTCACAAAGAGTCGGACACGACTGAGTGACTAGCTTTCACTGTTTTCATTCACCTGTTGATGGAATTTGAGTTGTTTATAGCTAGAGTCATTATAAATAAATGAATACTCTTATAAGTTGAATATTTCTTTTGACTATATTCTTAAGAGTAGAATTGTTGGGTCGTGTGGTAGTAATATGTTTGAACTTTAGTACATACGGATAAACAGTCTCCCAAAGTGGTTGAATTAATTTATATTCCCTCCAACAATGCAAAATAATTGTGGTTTATGCCACATTATCAGTTATAATTGGTTTGTCAGGGGTCCCAGCACCACTCCAGGTTTGATGATTTGCTGGGAGGACTTATAGGACTCAGCTTATAATCATGCTCACAGCTGTAACTTAATACAGCAAAGGGATGCAAAAAAAAATCAGAAAAAGGAAATGGCACATGGGACAAATTTCAGAGGATATCAAGCACAAGCTTCCAAGAGTCTCCTTGCAGTATAGTCAAACAAGACGCACTTAACTCCAGCAATTGGTTGTGACCACACGTAAATGTTGTCTACTAGGGAAACTTGTCAGGGGCTCAGTGGTCAGGGTTTTTATTGGGGCTGGTAACATGGCACCTTCCCTAGCATGTGCCAAAATTCCAGATTCCCAAAAGGAAAGTAGATGTTTAGCATAAACTATATTGTGTGCACAAAATTTAGGCATGTTGTTGTTGTTTAGTCTCTAAATCATGTCTGACTGTTTAGTGACCCCATGGATTGTGGCCCACCAGGCTCCTCTCTCCATGTGATATCTCAGGCAAGAATACTGGAATGAGTTGCCATTTCTTTCTCCAGGGGATCTTCTCAACCCAGGGATTAAACTGAGGTCTCCTGCGTCTTCTGCATTGCAGGAGTATTCTTTACCACGGAGCCACCAGGCATAATGAACTGTTTTTATCAGTTCTGAATATGGTGGGACTCTGCCAAAATCCGTGTTCCCAGAATCCAACCAAGCCAGCCAACTTTGCAAACAGGCCTTTCTGAGGAGAGTAATCTAAGACCTGCTATGTTAACTCTTCTCTGCACACATTTTTTTTTTAAGGTGTTTTGTGATGCTTTAATGAAAGGAGATATATGCAATACATTTTTTCATTATTAAACAACTGTATGGAATTCACTAAAGAAATACCTCAACCACAAACATATAGCAAGGATAAAATAAAAGGAAATAAGTATGGCACATAATTAATAAACAAAAGAAGATCTATTATTAATATTAGACATAGTATTTTGACACAAAGCAATATCTTAGATCATTTACTACATAATATAAATAGAATAATACACAAATCACAGTTTAATAGATATGCAAGAAGAAATAATAAAACCAAAATCATAGCATGTGATTATAATATCCCTTTCTTATTTTTATTTTTTTAAACTTTTAATTGAAGGATTATTTTTTTATGGTTTTTACAAATATTTTGTTTATTTAAATGAAACTGGTACAGACACTGTCCATTTAAAACCTATATCCCAGGCCAAAAAGTACAAATAAAGTAAAAAAGAGCAGTGTTCTGTTGTATACACTTCTGCATGAATAACTTTAACTGCTGATGAAAACTAGATCTTTTCTGGGATCTTCTGACAAGATTTTTCTTTCATCCTAAAATGCTTTCTCTTCAGTGAAGCCATCTTTGGAGTTAGTCATTATTCTCTGTCATTTTGACTCCAACTGGATATTCCTCTTCTTTTGGCCCGGACCCTCAGATTTTAAAAGTAGCTTCAAGTTAAGGAAAGGTCATTTTCCACAGTTCTGTTTTCCGAAAAACTTCCATCTCCCACTGAAATTCAAAGTCAGGAGTGAAGCAGTCACATGCTAGAACTTCAGGACCGATTGGGAATTCATTAGGAGCACTTGCATTATTCAATCTTATTTATCACAAGCCTGCAAATGCACAGTCCTAGAAAAGGCGGGATCTCTATGCACACCTGTAATTTTTAAAAAGGAGAGAGTGATATGAAGGGGGCCAAGGTTTGATCACCAAAAATCAGCACAATGAAAAGAAACAATAATGAATAATGGGCACTAAAATGCAAATTACCAGATGTTTTAAAGAGATAGGGTGCCAGTTTTCAATTCTGTTTTGAACACCACATTACAAAAGAACTATTTTTAAAAAAAGGATTAAGGGGAAAGAAAAAAAAAGAAGAATATCTAAACCATTGAGTGACCCCCTGTTTGTTCCTGATAAACTTCAATTACATCTTCTTCCTCCATTCCCAGTTCTTTTGGAGTGTGATTATCAGCAATTCTCTAACCTTCAAAGAGAAACCTGAGTGAATTCATGGGAACTCCCTGTCTTTGACAGTATGATTTGACAGTATGATTCTTTGAGTTTCTTGAGATGTGTTGTCATTTTCACTTTGAAGTGAATCTCACTGCTATCCTGTCCAATGACTCTGAGTTTAATATATTCTCCTTTCTTCTTATCCCACAAGTCCTTGAAGGTTTTGCTTTCTATTCAGACATGGTGACGGTGGCTTCCCCCGGGGTCTCCACACACCAGTGGCCTTGGGTCGGTAGAACCTCGCTCCGGGGTTTACAAATCCATCTCTCTACCCGACAGCACAACACTACGGCTGGAGGGACTTCTTCTATGCCTTCCCTATGTTATTATTTTTAATGTACACAGTTTATAATTCAAGGGCCAGAGCTTTCTCCCAGACTCAAGTTTATAAATTCTCAATTGACTTGTGAGGCCAGTAGGAGTACTTCTTCTTGTCTAATTTGGTTTCTGGAGAGACTTCATTCAAGTCCTCAGTGGTCATCTGATCAAATGGAATTATG